TCCCAGGATGTCCACCACCCACCCTAAGAGTGAATCGCAGATACGCTGCTCCTTCAAATCCCACCCTGGTGACAGCCTGTCAGGGAGCCTGAGTCACGCCATGATGCTGGGAGGCGGCCGGGCAGCGTCTGAGGCAGGGCCTGCCAGCCCACTGCGGGCCAGCCAGGCCTGCCAAGATTCTGCCCCAGGCAATCCCGATGATGCATCCTGTGAGTCTGTGCCCACGCCGGGCAGACAAAAGAATGTGGCTCAGATGGCTGCCCTGCCTCCGCCAGGTGGCTCGGTTAAGCCTCCCTTGGGAATGCCCAGGAGCAAGGTGACTTGACATTTTTGCCTGTACCCAAGGCTGGGACCAACTTTATGAATGAAAATATTTAACCTCGATTCTTTTTTGTAGAGGCAGAGTCTCACTGTGTTGCCCAGGCTGGTCTTGAACTCCTGGGCTCAAGAGATCCTCCAACCCCCAGTTTGTTTTTTTGTTTTTTTTTTTCTTGAGATGGAGTCTCACTCTGTCACCAGGCTGGAATGCAGTGGTGCAATCTTGGCTCACTGCAGTCTCCACCTCCCAGGTTCAAGCGATTCCCCTGCCTCAGCCTCCTGAGTAGCTGCAACTACAGGTGCCCGCTACCACGCCCGGCTAATTTTTTGTATTTTAGTAGAGATGGGGTTTCACCATGTTGACCAGGATGGTCTTGATCTCCTGATCTTGTAGTTCACTCACCCCAGCCTCCCAAAGTGCTGGCATTACAGGCATGAGCCACAGTGCCCGGTCTCCGCCCCCAATTTTTAAATATATTTCCAAGGAGGCAATTAACTGAATTGTGTATTTTCTCCAACTCCAAAGAATGCTGGTCCCACACCTATGCACTGATAACCAAAATCACACTGTTGGAGGAATTGACCTGGAGGAACTGACCTCATGATGTGTTCCTGGCCCGGGCCCCTGTAATCCCAGCACTTTGGAATGAGGCCGAGGCAGGAGGATAGCTTGAGCTCAGGCGTTCAAGACCAGCCTGGATAACAAAGTGAGACTCCTTCTCTATTAAAAAAAAAAAATTAAAAATTAGCCAGGCATGATGGCTTACACCTGCGGTCCCAGCTACATAGAAGGCTGAGGCAGGAGGATCATTTGAGCCCAAGAGGTTGAGGCTGCAGTAAACTACATTTGTACCATTGCACTCCAGCCTGGGCAACAGAGCAAAGACTTTGCCTTGAAAAAAATAAAACAGATGTGTTCATCGTGTAGAAGTTGAGTTTGTAGGGATGTGTCAGGTGGCAGCGGGAGTGCATTGAGGAAGAGAGAGATGACTCCGCTGGAATGAGATGACCCCTCCCCATGCTGAGACTCTTGATGAATGCCATGCACAGGCTCCAGCTAGGGGTGGCCACAGTGGGGCCTTGCTTGCTGGGGACGGCCCCTAGACTACAGGATGGGAGCTGCTCCTAGTTTCTCAGAACCTGTGGGTTCTGCTTCTGCAGCTCCAGCCATCTATCTGGCCGTTCCCAGCACTGACTCTGGAATAACACTTTATCTATGGGCAGCTCCTCTAGAAAAGAGCCAAGCCCCACAGGCCAGAGGGGTCTCCCCTTACCCAACACAGGAATCAGGAAAGCTGCCTCTGTTCCCTGCAGGGCAAGGCACATTCCTTGTAATTAGTGCTTTGCCTGTCTTCTGGGCTACAGTTTTCCTTTCTGCTATTGTTTTTATTGAGCACAGTGAGTAGAATCAACTAAATATCTGGACGGATAGTCTCTTTAAGAGTTAAAGGAAATCCCATTAAAGGGCTTTTAAAAACAATCCAGGAGCATGCATGTGTCTATCCATAACTCAGTACTAATTACAAATAATTATTATCTATTCCAGTGGTTACCCCAAATAGTGCAATAAAGATGAAGGGAATAATTTTGCTGCTCCAGGAAATACTCATGCTTCTGTTTCCCTAGCACATTGTAAGAAATCCTATAACAAGTAAGAGGCAGGAATTATCACCCCCACCATGGGAATGAGGGGTGGAAGCTTAGAGATGCTGAGCGACTCACCGGGGACAACAACAACGTGGTTAGGGTTAGGGTTAGAGGCGGAGCTAGACCTGGACTCCAGGTGTTTGCTGCGTGATCTCCCGTGCCGCACCAAGCAGCAAGTCTATATGACACCCCCGTGGAATGAGAGAAGAGCAGCTCATCGACACAGATTTATTGCAATGCTCATCTCCCCAGATTTTGATGGGTCATCATCTCCTCTAGCTACTCAGAGCAGGGAGCTGGGACTGTACTAGAGTACGCGAAGTCATTGTGTGTATTCTCTTGGTGTGTCATTTCCCCGTGGAGTCACCTTCCAGAAGCTCTGCCACCTCCCGCTCACGGGGCCCGGGGGAGGGATGGGCCCTGCAGAGTGGGCGGTCACCACACTCGGGGCATCCATACTGCCTGCCAGTCCAGCCCCTTCCCCAGCTTGTTCTCCCATCCAGTCGGCTAAAGGGGCAACAAAGAGGAAGCCAGGGACCCTCAGGAAGGAAGCAGCCCCAGCTCCTCCTCCGGGCTCTCCTTTTGTTAGTATTACGGCAAAAACCGCAATTACATTTGCACCAACCTAATAGAAGCCCCTGGTGACAGGGAGAGGGGCACTGGTGGGGCCCAGTGGGAGAGAAAACAGCCTCGCAAGCCATTCTCTTTCAGTCTGTGAAGCGCATCGCGGCCTTCCTCGCAGGTGGGTGAGTGCGGCTGTCCCCATGATCCTCACAACTGTTGTTTGAACCAGTACCTCTGTGTCCAGCAAGGGGGTGAGGACTGTCCTCCCCCCACCTCAGGGGGCTGCATGGAATCACAAAAGCAGTCTTCCAAATGCATGACTAGGCTTGATTTTAAAAGGAGTCTCAAGTCTCTCCCCAAACAAAAACAGGAAAAGGGTGGCCAGGTTAAGGCTGGGTTCCTGGTGTTCTGAAGCAGGGCAGGCTTGGTGGCCTTCTGTCACTGAGGAGCAGGGGGTCTGTAGAAAGGAAAATCGTGAAAAAAGAAAACTGTAGGCCAGAACACAGGCAGTTGCTGAGCTGCTGGACGCGAGCCCCACACATTGAACAGAGCCCTTCAAAAGAGAACTGGAGAAAGAATATTCCAGGACTAAAAGGTGAAGTCAGGGAAGCTGCACGACCTCAGAAATCCATGCAGACATTCCTTAAAAAAGAAGGTGTCTTCGCTCAGCCACTAGAACAAAATACCATCCTGAGTGGTTTGTAAACGACATTTATTTCTCACCATCCTGGAGGCTGGAAGCCTGAGATCAGGGTGCCAGAAGGGTCAGGTTCTGGTGAGGGGTTGCTGACTGCCGCCTTCTCGTTGTTTCTTCACACGGTGGGAAGAAAGGGAGGGCGCTCTCTGGGGTCTCTTTTACAAGGGCACTAATCCCATTCACGGGGTTCAACCTTATGACCTCAGTGTCACCTCCCAAAGGCTCCATCTCCTAATACCATCACGGTGGAGGTAAGGACTTCAACATGTGAATTTTGGGGGAACACGAAGGGTCAACATGTGAATTTTGGGGGAACATGAAGGGTCCTTCTTCTGGAGGGGATGTCAGGGTGGGAATGCTCAGGGCACCTGGCAGAGGACCCTCTGTGGGGCGAGATCCTTAGTCGGTGCCCAGAGACTCCTCGGCTAGGCTGCTCCAAGGAATGCAGATTCCAGGGCAAGTCCACAGAAATAGCGAGGAGCCAGGTTAAAGCACCCAGAATCTCAGCCAATGTGATGGAGCCTGGGCTGTCCAATAAATGATTGACCAAAGACCCTTTAAAGGGAATTGAAAAGATGAAAAAGAAATTAGATACTGGCACATTTTTATTTTAGCCCTCATAAACATGCCGAGGCGGGCGGATCACAAGGTCAGGAGTTCGAGACCAGCCTGGCCAACATGGTGAAACCCCTTCTCTACTAAAAACACAAAAATTAGCCAGGTGTGGTGGCACGTGCCTGTAATCCCAGCTACTCAGGAGGCTGAGGCAGGAGAATCGCTTGAACCTAGGAGGCAGAGGTTGCAGTGAGCTGAGTTAACCCCACTGCACTCCAGCCTGGGCAACAAAGCGAGACTCTGTCTCAAACAAACAAACAAAAGAAGCTATGAGGTGGATGAAACAGATGTTATTATCACTGTCCTGCAGATGAGGAATCCAAAGTCCTCATCAAGGACACTCCACTTATTATGAATTCAGCCGGGGCTGAAGCGGTGTGTCCACAGCTTTGACGCCAAACAGGTAACCCCTTTACTAGCTGAGAATACGCCTCTGTGAAGACAAGTGACTGCAAAGCAGCGAAGCCTCAGTCCTGAGGGCATTTTTCTAAGACATCAGTTCCATCAGATACGTCTTTGGGAATCATTTCATATTCAGCCAAGTGTTAGAAAGGGCTGTTTGGCATTATTTGCTCCAATAATAAATCCATGCATGCTCATGTTCGTCAACGCTGCTCTGCAGTGAGAAGTCAAAGCACCCAAGCCAGGCCTCCATGGGGAGGCCCGAGATGACTGAAGGGTTTGTGCATAAGCATTTGTTCAGATGCAATAATCCACTACTCTTGGAGAGAAAATGATCCTTTTTAAAAAAATTATTTTGTCTTTTTAAAAAATTGATCTAACAAATTACGCAGAATTCAAGGAGCAACTGAAGCAAAGTTCTCTTGTTGATAGAGGTGTGTCCAGTGTGCAAATGTGTCCTTTGGAGACTGGGTCAACATGTGGCCATGGCACTGTGCCTGCTCCAGTCCCTGCACCCTTTGGCCTTGGGCCAGCCCTCCATCTGTCAACGACAGCACGCAAGGTCCTCCTAGACAGAGAGTATCCAGTACTATGGACGCTGTGGACACAAACAATGTGTGGGCAGAAAGCAGGTGAGTGGTTACCAGGGGATAGGGGTGGGCCGACAGGAAGTGACTGCTTCCTTTCTCTCTAAATCTCCCCAGGAGGGTTCCCTGGTGAGGACAAAGGTAGGTGATCCAGATAGCCATCTCCTCACCAGAGCTTCTCCTCCCCGCTCAAACCATGGAGAGAAAACATGGAGATGCTTCTTGCCTGCAGGTTTATAAGATTCAAAGCTTCTGGTGAGAAGCAGAGACAAGGGAGTATTCTTCTGTGTTGGGGAGAGCTGGACTGGCCACTGCTGATGCTGTAGATGAGAGTCTCTTGCAGGAGCTGTCCCAGGAGGCTGCGGGAGGGGTTGTCCTGGTGCACGCTGATGGTGGCAGAGCTGCTACTCCTGCTGGTCCGTCCCCGGTGTTTAATGAGCCTGTCCTGAGATGAAGGAGGGAAAGGGGGGCAGGCAAAAGAGAGAATGTCCATTATGCCAGGAGGCATCCCTGCCTTTCTCCTGTAGCTCTGGGACCAGCTGCAAGAAGGCAAAGTGTCATACCAGCCTTTTGAGATGGGAGGCTCAGAAGTCCATCAGCAGATGAATGAGCAGACAGAATGCGGTCTCTCCATGTGACAGAACATTATTCAGCCGTAGAAAGGAATGAAGCACTGACCCAGGCTACAACATGGTGAACCGTGAAAACGCAATGCTGCGTGAAAGAAGCCACGCACAAACGCCACACATTGCGTGATCCAAACGCCACACATTGCATGATCCAAATGCCACACGTTGCATGATCCAAACGCCACAAATTGCATGATCCAAACGCCACACTTTGCATGATTCAAATGCCACACACTGCATGATCCAAACGCCACACACTGCATGATTCAAATGCCACACACTGCATGATTCAAATGGCACACATTGCATGATTCCATTTACATGAAATACCCAGAATAGGTGAGCGACAGGGGCAGAAAGCAGGTGAGTGGTTACCAGGGGATAGGGGCGGGCTGACAGAGAGTGACTGCTGATGTGCACAGGGTTTCTGTTGGGGGAGATGAAAACATTCTGGAAGACTAGATGGGGTGACGGATGCACAGCATTTTGAGTGTGCTGAATACCATCAAATGATACACTTTAAAATGGTGGTAATGGTACATTTAATATTATGTGTATCTTACCACCGTTTAAAACAGAGCTTGACTGGTTAGTTTAACAAATATTATGAGTGGCTTTTGTTATGGGCCGGGTGTGGTGGTTTGTTCACTTTTTTGTTCACTGATTTGGCAAATATTTGTTGAACAGCTGCTGTGTGTCAGGGGCTGGGCTAGATGCTGGGGGGTTAGTGATGAGCTAAATCAATTATCATGGGACCTGAAGTCAGCAGAGAGAGAGGGACTATTCCACAAGTCACTGTGTGAACTGCATGGGTGGCAGGGCAGCCGTGCAGCTGGGAGTAGTGGCCAAGAGGAGTCTGAGGAAAGCCCTGCAATGCCACTGGAGGGTGGGCAAGAGGCTCAGACAGGACTGCAATGAGCCTGTGGGTTTTGTTCCTATAGCAAAAGAAAGGAGTGGCTAACTTGGCAGAGAAAAGATGAAATCATATTTGCATTTGACCAAGATGGAGACAGTAGGGGGAGGAGGTGGGTGACCTGGAGGCTCAGCTGGGATGGTGAGCCAGGCCCCTCCACAATGCACTTGGAGGGGGTGGCGGGTGGGAATGGGCTATAGAGGGTGCCATGTAGGGGTCTCCCTTAGGCAGTGTAGCGGGTGTGTGGGGCCGGGCTTGTGAGGAGAGGCCACCCCAGCAAGGATAAAGCAATGCCTGCCCATGGAGTATCGCGTTGGTCTGAGATGCAAGAAGATAGAAACGAAGGAGAGGACCATGGGAGGGGTTGAGAAATTCTAAAGGCAAGAAACAGTCAGGGAAGAGGAAGGATTCCACAGTGGGGGTGGCAGAGACCGAGTGCTGAGCCAGTGCCAGGCGCCCGCCCTGTGGGCACGTGTTATAAAGCAGCACCTTGAAATGGAATGGCGAGGCTCCTAAACACAACAGACTCTAGAAACTGATGCCTGGGTGTGAACGTCACAAAACACTGGGAAAGGACGTAATTAATAAGTCTTGGGATGAATTATCAAATGAGAAAAGACCAGGGAGGTCAACCAGAGGGGCCCACCGGGCAATTGTCCGGGTGAGGAGGGGAGGTTGGGTGCCTTCCCTGGCATACGGGTTGCCCCTATCCTGCCTCCAGGGCTCAGGGCTCTGAGAGGACGTGGGTGCAGCATGAAGGGCATGGGCTTTGCCTCCTCCACTGTAGGTGGGAGCCAGTCCTGCCGCAAAGAACCGCTATGGGGCTGGAGGTAACACATGTACACAGAAACAGCGCCTGGCCCACGGCGGGCGCTCCGTACAGCACAATAATGACTGTTGTTACACAGAGCCAAGAATAGGGAAGAATTCATTTAGCCCTAAGTGCACCCTTCACGCCAAGTGTATTTAACTTCAGATGAATAAGCAGCAAAAACAAACTTTGGGTTTTGTTCCTACAGCAAAAGAAAGGAGTGGCTGACTTGGCAGAGAAGAGATGAGATCATATTCGCACTTGACCAAGATGGCCCCAGGAGATAGTAGGGGGAGGAAGGGGGTGACCCTGGAGGCTGATCTGGGTTGGTAAGCTGGCCCCCTCCATTGTTTAATGTTTAAAAAACATTAAAAATGAGTCAAAAGGAGAACAGAGGAATCCGCTCCTGGCTGGTGATGCTTCTTTTGGTTAAATACAAGTGAAGAGAGTCTAGAGAGTCATTCATTCATTCGTGCAGCTCATCTGGACTGAGCACCCACTGCGTTGGAGAGACCACGTACAAATACCATTTTAAATGTTTATTCAGCAGCGAAGATATTCCTGCCTCTGACTTCTCCATCCAGGTCTCGGAATCACCACCTCTCACACACACACCCAGGAATCATCTCTATACCAGCCTCCTTTTCTCTAACCTCGATCCCATCCCATCCGACCAATCAGGAACCAAATCTCGCCAGCCCTCTCTCTGTGATTGAACTGCAGCTTCTTTCTTCTTCCCCGCTGGGTCCATCTGCTGGCTCTCCAGCGGGAACCTTCTCCTTCACACCATCCCGCACCCACCTGCCGGCCCAGCTGCCGGGACTTCGGAACAGACCTGGCTGTGGATCCCCCCAGGGGGCTTCCAAGCTGTGTGACCTTGGACGTGTTATCTCCCTTCCTAATGTTCATCTTCCCCATCTGTAAAACAGGCATGAGGCTGCCTAGCTCACTGGGCCATGGAAAGGATGGAAGACCACAGCAGGATGCATGAAGCTCCTGCATGGTGCCCAACACAGGCGAGAGGGCAGGTAAGGATCCCGGGACCTGCCTCACGCAAGTGTCGCCCACGGCTACTTAGGAATACTTCCTGGCAATGGGGCTCCCCTATGTTCCCTCCACATACACATTTAATCACCTTCCATTCCCCATTCCCCAGACCTGTTCCCTGGATCCTTGGCCAGTGCTCCTTGCCACAGTTTCCCTTCCCCTGGGCTTCATCCTGCTGAAGACACTGCTGACCAGCTGCCTGCAGTGACCTGCACGCCTGCACCTGCTGCTTCCTGAACTCTCCTTAGGTGCTGTCCAGAGACACCTCCTCTATCCTGTGGAATGTCATGGGGACCTGGATTGCTATTTCACATTTTGTGTGTGTGCCTGTCGCCTCAGCTGGACTCAGTTTCTTCAGGACTGGGACCAGGCCTTACGGTCCTTTGAATTCCTCCTCAAAAATCTGCAGGTTTTCTAGAAACATCTCTTGATTTCAATTAGAGGTTTGTAGCTCTAGCACCAAAGTTAAGTTGGGTCTAGGGCTGCTCTTTGCAAGACGTACTTACTACTCCAGGTGTGCACAGGCCCTGCAGCAGCCAGGCCCTCCAGTGCTGGGCTGGGGCTGCCCTGCCCCCTCCCCTCTCAGGATCAGTCCTCCCGTGGAGACCGGGTGTCTTTCTGGGGTGCAGAAGCGACCACTCACTCCTTGGCTTTGACCACAGGGAAGCGCTCAAGCCCTTCAGCCTGGAAAACAATGCCAGGCTTCCCTTCTCAGATAATCCCTCCGATCCCTGCACCCCTGACCCTCCACAGGCACATCCAGCCTCCTGCAGGGCCTCCTCAGACCCCAGCCAGCCCAGCGGTTGGCATCACCCCTACCATTTTCTGCCTGCAGATCCCCCTTCTTCCTCACCTGAAAATCTCTATCCTGCCTCCAAGAATCAGATCACAGTTACCCCTTAGCAGTGTGAGAAACAAACTCACCTGTCCAAGCCCAAAGAACAGACTCAGAGACCTGGAGAACAGTGAGAGTGAGACTTTTTTTTTTTTTTTTTTTAATTGATACGGAGTCTTGCTCTGTCGCCCAGGCTGGAGTGCAGTGGCGTGATCTCGGCTCACTGCAACCTCTGCCGCCCCAGTTCAAGTGATTCTTATGCCTCAGCCTCCCAAGAAGCTGGGATTATAGGCACGAGTCACCATGCCCAGCTAATTTTTTTGTTTTTTGTTTTTTGTTTTTTTTTTTTTGAGACAGAGTCTCACTCTGTCACCCAGGCTGGAGTGCAGTGGCTTGATCTCGGCTCACTGCCAGCTCCGCCTCCCGGGTTCACGCCATCCTCCTGCCTTAGCCTCCCGAGCAGCTGGGACTACAGGCACCCGCCACCACACCCGGCTAATTTTTTTATATTTTTAGTAGAGACAGGGTTTCACCGTGTTAGCCGGGATGGTCTCGATCTTTAGACCTCGTGATCCGCCTGTCTCGGCCTCCCATACAAACAGGTTTCAACATGTTGGCCAGGCTGGTCTCAAACTCCTGACCTCAGGTGATCTGCCCGCCTCAGCCTCCCAAAATTCTGGGATTACAGGCACGAGCCACTGAGCCTGTGCCACTGGGCCTGAGAGTGAGACTCTTAATGATGGTCTTGCAAAATCAAGTGTCTGATGGGCAGGCATACCCAGCATGGTTTTAACAGGCAATTTATCCCCTGGTGTGCAGGGCCCTCCCCTGGTTCTTCATTGCTGCTAGTCACTAACACACCGGGGCTCACAATCTTCCCAGATGTCACTCTTGGTTGTTGGGCAGGGACTTCAGGTGGTTTTTTTGTTTGTTTGTTTGTTTGTTTGTTTTGTAGGATTGTCCTGCTGCATTTTGTTGCAGGCACCATGCATTGCAATCCTAGTTAGCTCAGGGGCTCTTCAAGTATTTATGACCTAAGTAGCCGGGCAGGCTGATAAGAACAGACAAGGTGAGCTATTTTGAAGGCTAGTAAACTTTCATCTTAGACTAAATTTCTTTGGTTCAGGTGACGGCAACTGAGGGCAGGGGCAGCGGACAAGCAGGCGTTGACGATCCAAGCAGGGGCCTAGTGTATCCTGTTTCTTCTGTAGTTTGCTGACCTAAGCCAATTCAAGGCACTTTGTCTTGGAAATGGACC